GGAGGTTTCTAGTCTTCCTCTCTCTCCCAACTGATTTCTTTCATGTACTGACTTCACAGCCTTTGTAAGGTTTTTCTGGATCTCACTCTGCCCTATTTTCTTGCCTCAATGCTACTTAAATAACCAACCAATCTTCCTTCCTTCCTTCCTTCCTTCCTTCCTTCCTTCCTTCCTTCCCTCCTTCCCTCCTTCCCTCCCTCCTTCCTTCCTTCCCTCCTTCCTTCTTTCCTTCCTTCCTTCCTTCCTTCCTTCCTTCCTTCCTTCCTTCCTTCCTTCCTATGAGATAAATGCTTACTCTGTACAGACATTGTGAATATAGTGGTGAATAAATGATGCACCTTCCACATGTAGCTTGTGTTTATATTTTAGTTGCTTGTGTCTATATTCCAGGGCAAAATAGGCAGTGAACAGGTTTGTTTGTTTTTTGCAGTGCTGGAGATTGAACAGAGTCTTGTACATGTGTGCTAGGCAAGTGCTACAGCCCCAGCCTGCTTGGTAGTAAACAAGTAATGGTAAATGTCATTGAAAACACCAAATACAATTTTGGAACCAAAAGTGGCTGAGAACAGGTAGTGGTATCTATGAGGAAACCTTTTTTCCTAGTACTGTTTGAGGAGCAAAGACTTGAATGAACTAGCAAAACAATGTTGAACAGCTGGCAGTAGAAGTGGCAACACAAAACAAGAATGAGATTCACATCCTGAAGAGAGCCAGAAAGTGTGGCTGAAGCAGGAATGTAGCCAAGGGGGGAAAAGACAATTGGCACCACTAAAATTACATAATTGAAAAGCATTGACATTTAAGGCCTAATTTGAATAGTCATGATTTTTGTTAGTCATTATTTTCATTACTCTTTTCTGTAGGAGACTAACCTTTCCCCTTGCATCAACATGGAGAGAAGGGATGTTGAGCTTATTTATAATGATGGATCAATTGAGCTTAATTTTGAACTAAGTACTGTTTACTAGTTCCTGGCATTCAGTGTCTCTCAGAATGTCATGGTAATTAGATGTTTTGAAAATTATCAAATAATAAGTAGTTTTTAATTGCCTTTATAGTAGGTTCACGAATGGTTTTTTAATCTTTACCTGTTTTCATTTTTTCCCCTAATGCTGGGGATTGAACCTAATACATCAGACATGCTAGAAAAATACTCTACCACTGGACAAAGCCCCCCCCCAACCAAATAATTCCTCTCTTAAAAAACAACTTGTTCATTACCATTGAAATCTACCTGATGACTTTATATCCATGCTCAGATGCCAAGGAGCTCAGAAAGTAACTGACTGTGACTAGTAATAATCAGATATATAGAGATTAGAAACGCATGTACATCTTAGTGTCAATTGTATTAAAAGTGAATTTTTCTTTATGAAACTGTGTATTTTAATAATGAAATGGAGAGCTTTTTTCAAGTTTAAAACCTCATTTAATTTTATGTCTTATAGGGTTTATACTGAGTACAATATTGTATAACTGTATTAATTCAACTGTAAACCTAAAAATATACAGCCAATTTTGAAAGAGATGCATCTTAGCTCTGGAAATTGTTATTGAATATGTCAATGATGATGTAATGAAATGCTTCTTCTAATTATATGGTTATTAAATAAATAAATTAAAAAATTTTCAAACTAAAAAAAAAAAGAACTTATGGGGCTAATGAGATGACTCTGTGCTTAAGAGTGCAAATTGCTCTTCCAGAGGACCTGAGTGTCAGGCAGCTCACAACCACCTGTAACTCCACCTCTAGGCAATCTGATGCTGAGAACACCCACATTCGTGTGCACATACACATACACACACACACACACACACATGCATGCAACCAAAAATAAAATCTTTAAAAAATATATTTTATTATTTTTATTTTATGTTTATGAGTGTATTGCCTGCATGTATATGAGTTCACCCATGTCGTGCAATACCGCGGAGGTCAGTAGAGGGCTTCGGAGTCCCCTGGAACTGGAGTTAAGGACTGTTTGTAGCTGCCATGTGGGTGCTGGGAATTGAACCCGGGTCCTCTGAATCTTTTTTTTTTTAAATAAAGCCAACTTACCTGGGCCAGCAAGATGGCTCAGTGGGTAAAGGTGCCTGCCACCAAGATTGACAACCTGAGTTTGATTCCCCAGGACCCACATGTTGGAAGGAGAGATCCAACTCCCTTGAGTTGTCCTCTCACTGCCATATATGTACTATGTCATGTGCCCTTCCCCTGCAATAAATAAATATAGTAAATATTTTGGAACCTGTAGAAGGTATAGCCTTGCTGGAGGAAGTATATCATTTGGACAGACTTGGAGGGTTGTAGGCTCACCCCTACTTCTGTTCACTCTCTTTGCTTCCTGTGTGCAGCCAAAAACCAGCCAGCTTTCTACTTCTACCTGCTGCCATGCCTTCCTTGACATTATAACCCTCTGGAACTGTAAGCCAAAATACACTCTTCTTCCCCCCCCCTTTTTTGGGGGGGATAGGGGTCTTTTTGAAACAGGGTCTTTCTGTAGCCCCAGCTGGTCTAGAACTTTCTATGTAGACCAGGCTGGCTTTAAATTCACACAGATCCACCTACCTCTGCCTCCAAAGCACTGTAATTAAAGGTGTGTGCCACCACGCCCAGTATAAACTTTTATTTAGAAAAAAAAAAAAAACTCACACTGTGAGAGAAATATGATTGACTGAATTTAGATCACAGACTTAAAAGCAGTCAGCAAATGAAATGTGACAATATTTTTCAATTAAGTGATAAAACTGTATTAAAATTTAAATTACTGTTTACTTTGGAGTTTGAATTAAGCATCTATTCTACCTCTCCATAATGAAGATTATTCAAAGGTGCTTTTCATTGTTTTTCTGCACTTAGAACATAGTCACAAGTTTCCTAATAGAACTTGAACTATAAAAGAATTATGATAAATCTTTTTAAAGTCATTATATAATACCATGTTGATTACAAATAATTTTAATATCTAACAGACAACCATGTGAGTTTTGGGCCAGGTAGGGTTGCAGCCCTTCTTAGACGATGTCTAGCAACTGTAACATAGGCTTCATCTTCACAGCTTCATGAAATGACTTCTCCGAGCCTCATTGTATGGACTCCATCCTTGCTATATGTTGCCTGGCTTCAGCAACTCTCTGAAAATGTGCATAAAGAATCCATAATACCCTCACTCTTTCATCTCTCATGCCTCCAAAACCAGTACCATGTAGATGGCACTGTGAAGTTCAGCTGCCAGCTTGGGATGGACTCTGGTTCTTTGTATCACATTTGCAGCAGCTTTTATATGTTGTTGTTTTCTAGGAGTAGGAAGCTCCTTAGACCTTTTCCTTTCACAGTTGGAGCTTTAGCTGAGTGGGGTCCAACCCTGGGGCAGCCTTTCCATTATTTCAGTGAAGAGCACGAGGCTTTGCACTAATCTCTTTATCAATTATAGGCTCTATTCTAGCAATTTATCAATTATAATACTTTTCCAGCTTTCTAGTTCTCTTTTCCTCTCCAAACTGTGCATTTTGTATTTCTTTCTGACTCACTTCCTCTTTTTCATTATAGACCTGCCTAAGAGTTGTCAATAATAGGCATACCACAAACTCAGTGTTATGTTGCTGAAATTTCCTACACCAAAGAAATTAGTCCATCACTTTTTAATTTGACCTCAGGTAGGTTCTTAGGACATGGGCAAAAAGCAGCCAGGTTCTTTGTGAAAATAATCACACAAATGGCCTCTAGTTGCCAATAAAGTCCTTGCTTCCCTCTGAGACCTCATGAACCGGGTCTCCAGTGGCCACATTACACTCAGCACTGCTGTCTTCCATATTCCTACTAGAACAGCCTGCCAAGTTCTGTTTACAGCTGCTTTTGTAATCTAAAGTTCCAAAGTCTTCCACATCCTTTCAATAAACAACATGGTCAGGATCTTCACAGCAATAATCCTACTCTTCTCATATCAGCCTCTGTATTCATTACCTTTCTGCTGCTGTGATAAAATTCCATGACCAAAAATGACTTATAGAAGAGCTTATTTTGACTTATGGTTCTGGGGCATTGCAGTTCATTATGGTAGAGATGGCATGGCAGCAGGTGGCTGGAGAAAGCAGCTGGCTGGTGGTATTTCGCTCTCACACAGGAAGCAGAGAATAGTTAAGTTCTTAAAGCATATAATGAAGATTTCTCTATTAGTTTCATTTTACCTATTAGAAATAAAATCTGAGATCCAAGGAACCCACTGATACTGCACAAAGAATTCACAAAAGTAATTTGGCAAGGCGGCTTTTGCTTTTGCAAAAGGGTGCTGTTATGTCATCACAGAGAGAACATAATGAGTTTGATAGGTTTTGATCCCTGACATGAGAATACTGAGTCTTTCTCCTGTTGCCTGGGGTCTGACCTCACAGTCTTTCCCAGTAGGCTAGTTTAAAAGAATCAATGCAGGGAGCTGGAGAGATGGCTCAGCAGTTAAGAGCCCTGACTGCTCTTGCAGAAGGCCTGGATTCGATTCTCAGCACCCACATGTTGGCTAAGAACTGTCTGTAATTCCAGTTCCAGGGGAAATCCAATGCCTTCTTTTGACCTCCATGGGCATTGCCTGACATGGGTACACTTACATACACGCAGACAATACAGTCGAACACATAAAATAAAAATATTTTTTTTGAGATAGGGTCTCTCTGTAGCCCCAGCTGTCTTAGAACTCACTATGTAGACCAGGCTGAATAATAAAATATTTTTAATAAAAGAATCAGTGAAAAGGGTTGGCAAAAGAGGGGTAAAGGCTCTGCTACCCTAAGCCATCAAGTTCCAGAATACATTAAGGCCTTTTTTGTGTTAGATTAGAATTCTTTGTCATAAACGAAAACTTACAGGATTTGAAAGAAAAAGCTAATATTTAATGTTTCTTATATCCCTATGCCTTACAATTTAAGGTATAGGTATATGACTTGTGACTTCTAGAAAATCAAGATAGTTAAATAGCCTAATAAATTGATATGGATGTTCCATTTAGGGCTGAGAACTCAACAGACACTTATTCTCAGACCTTTACCAGGTGTGAATTTCTGCACTGACTGCTGACCACTGAAGAAAGAAGCTTCTCTGGCCAAGGTTGAGGAGAGCACTAATACGTAGGTATAAGCATAAATATTTAGAAGGCAGTTGCCAACATTGTTGGCAAAACTATTGTTTAGCAAAAATAGCAGTACTAGATTCCTACACTAGGGTCTGTAACCTCCCAAGCCATGGGGTTTTGACTAAATTTCTAGTAATAGCTCTGAATTCCTCCATGTGGAGCAGGCCTCAAATCCAATCCAAAAGCAGTTTGTTACCCCCATAACTTTCATGGCACTGTTGCACCAGTTCTACTTTTTTTTTTTTCAATGATATCTCTCATTTATTTTGGAGTGCACAAATTCAGCTAGACTGGATGTCCTGAAAGCCCTAGAGATCTGCCTGTGTCCATCCCCACCCACTGCTGGGGTTACAGATATACATGCTTCATGTGGATTTGGGGATACAAACTCAGGTCTTCATGCTTATATGGCAAGCACTTTACCCACTGAGCCATATTCCCAACCCCAATCTGTTTTTCAATGACAGTTTCCATTGTGGTCAGTGCTTCTTGTGATTGTGCATATCTATAATCTCAGCGCTCAGGAGGTGGAGGTAGGAAGAGGAGAAGTTTAAGGCCAGGTTGGCTACTTAGTAAGACCCTGTCTCAAAAAAAAAAAAAACAGAAAAGAAGGGAAGGGGATGAAGAGTTAGGTTTGGTTATTTACACATTTGTTTTGCTATAGTTGTTTTTTCCACATTTAGATCTGTATTCCACTGGGAATTTACTAATTTTTTAGTAAATTTTTATGTTACTTTTTATTTTATGTGTATGACTGTTGTCTGCATTTGTATAAGTGCATTTATGTTGTGCAGTACTTGCAGAGGTCAGAAGAGGGCATTGGATTCCTCTGGAACTGGAGTTTTGGATGGTTGTTAGCTGCCATGTGGGTGCTGGAAGGCGAACCTTGATCCTCTGCAAGAGCAACCAGTGCTTTTAATCACTGAGCCCCAATAAATTTTTAGTGAATTTTTGTGTATTTCATACAGACCATCTTAATCATCTTTATACACCATTCCCCACTGACACCCTCCCATAGCTCCCCACCCCACTTGAACTCAAACATTCTGTCGTTTGTGTTAAGGCCTATCATGCCATGTTAATGTCCCCAAACATCCATCAGTGCAAGTTCATCTGCTGGAGACTAGGCTGCCTATATAGAGTCCCTCTAGCAATTCTTCACCCAGCAGTAATCAGCTGCTCAATAATTCTTTGGCTAAGATTGGGACCTGTTGCCCATTACCAGAGTTCTGTTCTGGGGCTCTGTCTGCTCAGGTTTGCATAGGTGTTGTGTATGCTGACACCATTGCTGTAGGTTCATATGAGCAAAGTCCCAGAAGTCTGTAGGACTCTTACTTCCATATAGTCATGCACCTCCTCCCTGGCTCTTAGAATCTTTCTACCCCCTCTTCTGCAGTGGTCCCTGAGTCTCGGGTGGATGGATTTTAATATAGGAGTCTTGTCCAAGGACCCACATTCTGCAGACTCTACTCTCCATGCTCTGGCCATTTGTGACCTTTGTGTTTGTGGCCCTCTGTTGCATGAGGAAGCCTCATTGATGAGAACTGAAAGATGCATTAGTGTCCTTTTTACGTCTTGTTCTGTTATCCATGAGCCTTAGGTGTAGAGGTTGCATTGTAGATGTGCCACTTAGGCTTGGGCAATTCACAGACAATGTCTGTGTGAGACCAGTTTTGGAACTCTGTAATAGTCTTTGTCTGTTGGGAATTTACTGTTTATAAAGCATCACTATATTTCAAAATTAGACTCAGAGTTTTTTTCTGGAAAGAACTTAATTTTATTGATTATTAAAGTGCATTTCCAGGTAATTTTAAGTAGCCTACCCAACATCTTAAAGATAATTAATGGGATATTTTGAAACTAAAATAAAGATTTTGTGTTTCTGAAATAATTTTTTTCTTGGCTATGATAAAGGTATACAACTATGTTAGTTATTATAGAATGTTTTAAATTAAACCAGCTACAGTGACTAAATGTGCATGCTGTGCAAGCATCAAGGACTGAGTTTAGATCCCTAACACCCATGTAAAAAGCCAGGTGTGGCTTTCTGCACTTGTAAACCCCAGTGCTGAGGTGGGGATGATATGGAGACAGGAGGATCATTGGGGCTTGCTGGATGCAAAAAAATGGGAGCTTCATAGTCAGTACTGTCTCACAGGAAAAAGGCAGAGAACAGCAGAGGAGGATACTGTGTGTCCTCCACACTGCATGGACCAGTGCATGCACACACATAAATACATACTGTAGACACAAAAGAAATAGAAGATGAACTATTTTATGTGTGTCATGTCATTTAAACATTCTTTTTGTGTGATGTTCTTAAAAATAATGTTTGAATTTTTTATTTTTTATAGAGTTGGAAAATATTTAACTCTCAACAAATGAATTCCATACTTGAATTCTGCAGCATTCCTGTGCCACCTCCTCCTTTAGAAAACCTATCTTAAAACAGGTAAAATTATGTCCTTAACTCTTTAAAAGAGAAGAATAAATTTCCCATATGGTTAAATGTATTAAGAATTTTTGATAATCTTTAGTGAGTAGCATTAATTTATTATTCAGTTTTACCTGGAATTATCAGATGTTAACTTTTGACTATTGAGTTTAATTTTTTAATTGTTTAGTAATTGTGCTTTAAAATTTTGTTACTTACTGGGCATGGTGGTGCATGTCTTTAATCCCAGCACTTGGGAGGCAGAGGCAGGCAGATCTCTGTGAGATGGAAGCCAGCTTGGGATAGTCTATGTAGGGAGTTCCAGGTCAGCTGACAAACATATAGTGAGACCTTCTCTTTGAAAATCAACCAACCAAACAAATAACTCACAAGATATTATTTGGAGTTGATTTATAAATTTAATTCCCCTAAGGTTGGATGGGGAGAGGGGAAGTCACTTTGTAACCAGGCTCGCCTCAAATTTGTGGTGATCCTCCTACCTTAGCCTGCTAAGTATTTATTTTTTACTTTATTGTTGTTATTGTTGTCATTTTTAGTGGGTTTTGTTTGGTTTTTGAAATAGGGCCTCATGTAGCCCAAGCAAGCCTCAAACTTACTGGACCTAGGATGACCGTGAATACCTGTTCCTCCTACCTATAACGTCCTGGTGCTGAGATTATAGGCATGGGTCACTAGTTTATGTGGTGCTGAGAATCAAAACCTTTTGAAGTAGGAATTCATAGTTTTACTCAGTTTTCAAAGCACTCTGTGAATGTGCATTCCACCTAACCCTACCCACAGAACTAAATAAGTAAATGATAATGAAATGTAAGAGTCTTGTTTTGTACTTTGTATCAGGATTAATTATATCTATAGCTTTAGTTCATCAATACTTTCTATTGTTCATTATGAGACATTTCAAAATTGCAATCAATTAGAGTAGTGTAGTGAACTTTGGGTACTGATTGCTAAGCTTCAATAACTAAAAACCTAAGGCCAGCCATATTTCATTTATATCTAATGCAAGGGGCTGAAGAGACAACTCAGTTAAGTTGGCCTCAAATTTACAATATTCCTGCCTCAGTTCTCCCCCTTCTTCCCCTCCCACTGCTGAGGTCATAGGCTTGCATCACCATACCCAGCTTCGGGACACTTTGTACTTTGAAGTGGGAAAGGTATGAAGGCAGGAAGACAAACAGGTTTCAGATATGTCATTAAAAATAGAATTGTGAAATTCATTAGGAGTTAGAGAGATGGCTCAGAGGTTCAGAACACTAGCTGCTCTTGCAAAGGACAGGGGTTTGGTTCCCAGCACCCACATAGTGGCTAATGCTGTCAGTGACCCCAGTTCCAGCAGATCCGACACCCTCTTCTGACCTTCAAGGGTATTGCACACAGGTTGTGTGCCTGCATACATGCACACAGAACACTCATACACATAAAATAAATTTTTTTAAAATCTTAATGGAATTTATTTCTGAAAAAGCTTTGTTTTAATTGCACTCCAAACTGAGGGTAAGCCTTTCTCTAAAATACAGACTAGATGACTTTCTCCTTTAGTGAAAGATATACCATATACCTTTGGTAGTTTCCGTAAGTAATGCAGTCTTCAGGTTCATTTTTTACAATTATATTTTAGAGATAAAAGAAGAATAGAAGGTAAAGAAAGATGCTGGGATCAGATCGTGGTGTTGTGGAAGAATGGTTGTCGGAATTCAAGGTAAATGGGACTGGGCATAAGAATGTAATTCTATGTGTCAGTAACTTAAACAGTGTTTATATGTTCTATGAAGAAGCATAAATATGCTTTCAACTAGAAGTGGCAAAATGTGGAGGAATGCTTAATTCTGATTCTTTCAGGTGGAGCCTTAAGAATAAGGGCCAAAAGGATTATGTAGACATGAAAGTAATTGTTAGGATTAACATATATTCAGTAAATGACAGGAGCCTCCAAGCCTTAACAAGTCATAAAAATAGTATTTATCCTATGCTTTTATTTCCTAAAATTAAAAGTCAAATCGTTTTTATTGAAAACTATATAATTTATGAATACTTAATGGAATAAATGTTTTGTAAAAGCATAAATACAAGAATTAAAATAGACAGCTTTTTTTTTTAGGTTAGATCATTTTAAGCTGACCCATTTTCATCAAATCTGATCATTTTTCATGGATGAATAGTTAGGAAATTTGTATAACATCCCAACTTCATTCGTTGTGTTAGCTCTCATGGTTATTTCTTATATTAATTATGTTTGATT